GCTTCCAATTAGCTCACTTCTCTGGGCTCACCTAACCCTGGAACTCATCCAGATCCCTCAAAATGGAATCCTGTCCCTGAAGTGTGTCAACAGCACCACTCAGCTTAGGTTTCATCAGTGAATGTGTTGAGGGACTTGATCCCTCTTTGTCATTAATGAAGGTATTAAATAACTGGTCTCCACATGGACTCCTGAGGGACGGCACTTGTCACCAATTTCCACTGGGACTCTAAGCCATTGACCACTACCCAGTGCATGCAACTGTCCAACCACTTTCTAATCCATCTTAACAGCCCACCCATGGAATTCATCTTTCTCCAGTTTGGAGAAAAGGATGTTGTGGGGGGATCATGTTAAAGGCTTTACAGCAGTCCAAATAAATGACTTCTGTAACTCTTCCCTTGTCCACAGATGCAGTCAGCCCACCATAGAAAGCCCTAAGATTGGCCATCTAGGGCCTAGAGAAGCTGTAAACTCTCAGGAAGTACTCAAGGTTAGGCTGGAATGCACTTAGAGCAGCCTGATACAATGAAAGATGTCCTTGCCCACAGGACAGGGATTGGACTAATTGCTCCTGGCTGCACTGAGCAAATTGTCTTGAAGTAAGTTAAAAGAAAGGAAGAAGTCATACACATTAACCAGATGATTTCCCAACATACCTGTTTGGCAATAGCTTTACTATCCAACTTGTTGTAAACTTTCCTTATTTTTGCCACTGTAAATGAAGAAACTGAAAGTGCATAGAGACCAAAGGAGACCTTCTCTTCCGGTACCAAAGATACTGGCGATGGATTGATTCCTTCAGACTTTGAATCTTTACCTTAAAGACAAAATAGGAGTTCCCTTCACTAATGGTTTTGTTTTTCTTTTAAAATTGAAGAATAAAATCTTAAGCAACTTATACTGCAGAATAGGTACAAAAGCAAGATTTTACAAATAGCTGAGATGTGATACTGTCCAGCCTAAGAGCTGTAAATTTCCCTTCCTTTCTGAAGGAAAACAAAGTAATCAAAAACCAGAGAAGCATTTGGTAAATCTGCATTCACTTCTGACAACTGGCTTTTTACTACAGTTTGCTAGGAAAATTGCCTTGGAATGCTATGAAAGATGCAAGATTCAAAGAGAATATATAACCATATCTTTAGAATTTTGTATCCTTTCTAATTTTACTTTCTACAGATAAATATAGCATACAGTATGAATAATGACAGCTTAAAAAATTTCTAACTGGTTTAAAACCAAAGTGAAGAATAAAAGCATTTCCACCATAGCTCTGTACAAAAATTTGGACTTCTATCCTCCTCTTCAGCAGCTGCTGATCTTCTTTCTATGAACAGCAAGCTTTTCCTCTCTGCTCCTGCATACTCTCTCACCTCTTCTGCCAGTGTGCACACAAAGATTCCAGCACAGCCAGCCCAAGTTACCAGGTGCCACCTGACATGTACTCACATGGAATATAAACTGCTTGGAAGCTCCCGACATAGTTGGGTCCCAGTTCATAAATGGTGCTGACCCCTGGGACAGGCAGCACTTCCTCCAGGAAGTGTGTGGGGCCCAGGCGCCACACCAGGGAGGAGAGCTGGCGCTGTGCGGGCGGCGTGCCGATGTAGGCGTACACGGTGCTGACCACGGGGGGGTTGGCAGAGCCAGAGCCACTGGGGCTGCTGTGGATGTAGTGAAGCTGTGAGGGAGCAAAACACAGGCAAGTTAGTGAGGGATCAAGAGTAAGCTGGCAAGATCAGAAATTTTGTCCAAAAATGGTTTTGCAAGCCAGGGGAGGATATCAAATGATTGCTGCGTAACACAGGGTATTCTGACACTGTACTGAACTAAATAGGGAAGAACATTAAACAGAAAGAAAATGCGAAGACCAGAAGTAGCTATCAAAAGATGAAGGTGTGTATGGAAACACAGGAGGAGAACGTGAGAATTCTGTGCCTAAAGAGACTGTATCTTGATTCTAAAGACATGGTGCTCAGAGTAGTGTCCACCCCTTTCCTAGCCTTTGGAAATTACACCATCTCAAGCTAAAGTGCAAACGTGATGAACTAATTTCAGCAAGACTTTTCAAATAATTAAACAAATACATGAATAAGATCCTGGTCAATATATAAAGATAGTAACAACCTCATAGCTTTTTTTTATTTACCTTGTAAAAATTTTGTTAGCATCTATTGAATGTAGTCATGCATAGCCAGAGAGATGGCTAGATAGACACTCATGCATTACAGCTGTCAGCATAACTAGTTATTGTAGTCCTCCCTCGTGCAAAAGGAATATCAGGAGGTAAACTTTAAAGTCAACATGCTGATTTACCTACAGCAGTACAGTAACATTAGCTAGTTTAAACCCCACACCAGTTTAAAAGCTAGTTTAAAGCCCACACGTGCCAGGTGTCAAATGATGTTTGGGTATCTGTTACAGCTTGGGAATATTTTGTGTTCAGTGGACAGGTCCACAGTGCTCTTCACTGCTCTCTGCAGTTTCTTCCACCTGCCAATGAGGTATTGACCTTTGCAAATAAATATGGTGTTTGCTCGTTGTTCTTTGTTTTGTAGCTTGAGTTGGGTTTTTTTCCTATTCTGTTGGGGGTTTTGTTTTTGGATGGGGTGGTAGTGGTTTATTTTGTTCTTCTGTCTGGTAAGTTTTTTTATTGCACAGAGAGAAAAATCACTCCAACCAGTAAAAATGACAATTGAAAGATTTATTTTACCTTAACAGTGTTAACAAGCTGTCCATCGAGATAGAGTGCAGCTGTGCTGTTCTTCAGCATGCCTTTACTCATGACCAGAACTAGGTGATGCCACTGGCCTTCCACAATGAGGTCACCGCAGCGGAAACGGGCACAACAGGGAAGAATTTCGTAAAATGATGATTCCTCACTAAAGTCATCAACTAAAGGAAAAGGACCAGTTAGTGGGCACCAGCAGAAATGTTACAGGAGCTTAAAAATCTCAGGATATACTCAGAGTTTTGACAATTGTATTTTACTTTTCACCTTCTCCCTTCCCTTCAAAATTTTAGCCAGAATTATTGGCTCAAGTTCTTATTTTCTCATGCTGCCATGCAAGTCACAGAAAGCTCTTTTGTTGTTGTCCTAAACAAGTTTCTGCAGCAGCAGTCACCAAGAAATGATGTCTCCCCAAACCCACAGAGCTATTTTCCACTTTTCTCACACTGTGGAGAGGATGACACCCACAGTCACACTTTTTTTATTCCAAATTTTGCATCACAAAAATGACCCTTACTCTACTTAAAGCTGTCCTAACATAAAAAAAAAAAAAAAAGAAAAAGAAAAAAGATTTTTAAAAATCCCCCAAAACCCAGGGAATGTTTCAATAGAACCCAGGTACTTTTCAGATTCCTCTCCATTCTTTCATATTGAAGGAAAAGAATCCATTAATCCTCTTACCACAACAGCTGCCTGCACAGAACACTCATTTCTTTAGAAACTACACAAGGAAAATGTTAAAAGCACAGCACTTAGAACTAACGTTCAGATACAAAAATAATCTCAAGTTTTTTCTTGGCCAAACATCTCTGAGCACAATTCTTGCTCTCAAGAAGGGTCCTTAAATCACCTCATTTACTCTTACAAGAGACTGTATCTTGATTCTAAA